AGCATGGATGGAGTGTTTGTGTGAACTAATATAAATTCAAAGTAAACATCATTACATAAAAGGGTACAGTCTTTTTTTTTTTAGTTTTATTCATTTCAAACGGGCCGGATCCGGCGCGGGCCGTAGTTTGCCCACGGCTGGTATAGAGGCTGAATCGTCAGCAGAGTAGCTGGAGCACAGCTCAGGCTTGTCACCTGCCACATCCACTCCCAGCTCCTCTCTAGATGGACAGCACGCACAAGTGAGCATCCCTGTCTCCAGGCTCTTGCCTTCTCATGGCCAATAGTAAGCCTGCCCAAATAACCCACTGATGGTTGCATGTTGGTGCCCATTGACTTGTGGAACTTGAAAGACCAGGATTCTCCATGACTCTTCCTTTTACATCCACCCTCCACCACCCTCTACACCTGCTGCACATGCAAGGCTTCTCTCACAGCTCTAGCAAACTTACCCTCTGCTGTCTGAGGCCTTTGTGCATGCTGCTCCCACTGTTAGGCAGCTATGTCTCATGCCCAAAGGAGGCCTGTCCTGATCCCCAAGTCTGGAGTAGACCCTTGCTTCAGTGCTCACAGTCTGCTGTGCTCCCCTCGTAGAGATGCTGTCACGGGGCACTACAAGGTGAAGGTCTGTGCCCTCTGCTGGGCTGGAAAACTTTATGGGCAGCAAACACATCCTGTCACTCACAGCTGCACACCCAACTCCTGGCTCAGGGCTTGGCCCATGATTATCATTCAACCAAAAATTGTTAAATGAATGAATAACTGTTTAAACGGGCAAGTTAATTACGAACATACATTTGCTCCTAAACGTCTACTTCCCTAAGACAGTGTTTTCAAACCAAACTATCCACCAGAATCTGTTAAAAATTCAAATTTCTGGACAAGCTCCCAGCCCCAGCCCCCAAATAAAATGGTTCAGTAGATATGAGATGAGAACGGGGACTGTATTTTTCACACTTTGAAAAACACGAAACCAGAAACTCATTCTTGTCTTGCCAATACTTTCTATGGAAACTCTAAAGTCCAATTAGGGACACTGCTGCAGAAGCTACAGCACCAGACCGATTTCCCAGTGCACACAGCACACAGGTCTTGATGACACTTCCCTACAGACCCCCAATGCCCAGGCAACACTCTCATGGAACACCATTACCCTGTACCCGGCTCTGCTCCACACTTCCTCTTTTTCGACCACTTCCACTAAGAGATCTGAAAGCAGCACCCAGTGATGCTCTTCAGGGCATGGATTTCATTGAGCATCTTTGCCTTGTTAAAAACTGATGGCACATGCACAAACCACTGTAGAGCCTGACCTACTCTATATAAAGCAGCCACATTTGGGTTCTTGTTGAGACCACATACCCTGATGTAGGCCTTTGAATCCAGAAAAAACACACAAATGCACTTGAGCTTCACAGACCATCAGGCAAGTCACCAATTAGCAAAGTCCTACCCAACCCTGAAAGCAGCAGCCCCACCGGTACTTCACTGACCAGTTGGAGGTTACTGACAGGAGGCTCCTCCCTCCTCTGGTCTCCACTTATGCCTCACTTAGCACTTCCTTCAACATACTCCTCAAATATCCCCCCCCCAACCCACACACACAGACACACACATTTATTTGCTTCTTTTGAAACGTTAGTGCAGTTCCTGTGTTCAGCTTCTTCAGCCCTCCCTTCTGACTTACTGCAACAGCTTCCTAGACATCTCCCTACCTCTGGACTTGACAACTCCCAAGATTCCTCAACCTATCTCCAAGGTGCAAAGCTCATCATGTGGTTATTCCAGATTAAAATCTTCTTAGGGCTCCAAGTAGCTATCAGGATGACACCTACATATGACACTTCAGCAAATGAGACCTGCAAGGACCAAGGTTGCCATGTCTACAGCCTCTGCCCTATGCCTAGCACCTTCACTCATCTTCCCCTCATCCAAGGAAGACACAGGCCAGGCCCCCCAACCCAGCATCTGGATTTTATGGGAAACAACCCAATTTTCAAACACTGTCAACTACATTAAGAAAAACAATCTTAAACATTGCGATAGATAAGGAAAACACAAATGCAGGCTGACTATAGCCCACAACAGTCTAATTTACCTGCTGCCTGCACATATGTTTTATCTAAACTCAAATGGTTTCCCCTAGATTGGTAGGTACTCAAATAAATGTTTTTTTCAATGAACAAATAAGCAAGTGTATAGGGTGGGAGAAGTCAAAGCAAGGAAAGGAGAGATATGAAAACAATGGTGAATGAAACTTGTGAGATGAAATTGTGTCCCTTTCTGCGCTGGCTGGTTTCCCTTTGGGGTCAGTGAACCAGCTCTTGCCCTGGCATCCCTCAGGGTGCTGCTTTCCTCAGCCCAAACCTGGCTGGGGCCCTGGGCTGGGCTGAGGAAAGCAGCACCCTAAGGGATGCCAGGGCAAGAGTTGGCAAAGGCAGAGATCTGAGCTTACTAAAATCAAGAAGCCCACTTACTAAAGTCATTTAAGATGCACATTCTGTATTCAGTTAAAATATTTTTAAGTAATATAAGGAGACAACAGAGTTATGTCAGAAAAACTTTTAACTCAATTTTCCAGACCAGAAGAGTAAGCTAGAGTTTCAAGGGCTGGAAATAAAAAGCAAATTTCTCAATCTCAGTTTCTGCCACATAAAATTACAAAACAAGATCAAGGACGGCTGGAGGACCATTTGCAGGGAGAAAAACTCAATTTTTGTTTTCTAGAGGAATAAAAGCCCATAAATATTTAAATTTCTATACCAATCAAACGTAAAACTGTAATTCAAACTTAAAAATAAAAAAGTCCATGATTCTCTCTCATCATGGATGTTCCTATCGCTCTCTTCCTCTCCCTTCCTCTCTGAAATCAATAAAATATAATTTAAAAAATAAAAAAAAATTTAACCCTATTTCCCCAATATTATTGTTACTAATAATATCTAAGTTCAAAAAAGGAGACAATAAAGTGAAACAAAATAATTTTACAGCAGACAGATGCTTGTAGAGGAGCCCAGGGAAGAGGTGAGAATTCACCTGGGACAGCATGTACAGTGAACTCACACCTGGTAGGAAGTAAGGACAGATTAAGGAAAGAAGTTAGTAAATGCAATTTGGGAATATTCTATGACTCTAAAAGAATAAGTACAGAATTGGTCCTAATCACCTTTGGGCCTTGGAAATAACTGTTCCTTCCCTCTGCCAAGGATATTCTCTCCCTGTTGTTCACCTAGGTGGTTCCTTGTTGCTTAGGTCTCCCATGAGATGACAGCTCCTAGGGAGGTCTTTCCTGACCACCTAACTCCCTAACACCTCTACCATATCACCCTGTTTTATTTTCTTCATCGCATTTATCAAGACCTAAAATTATTTTATTTGTTTATTTTTCTGACTGACCTTGAAGCAGGGTCTTGTGCCCTGCTGTGTCCCAAAAGCCTGCCACTAAGTCTGGCACATGAAGAGATAATCACTGAAGGAAGATGCTGACACTGCTGGTCAAAAGATTCTTATTTTTGTTAAAGGACTGTCTAGAGATAGGTAATGAAAGGTAGACTCCTTCTGCAGTAATACTTTGAGACCATGCTAAAAATTTTCCATGGTTGATGGCTCCTCTTGATCAATATTGTTCACATCCACACCTTACTAACACTGGTCATACAGAAATGCATAAAATCAAATCCTTAGCTGCAAGAAAGATTTTAAAACACAAAAGGATACTATTTCTAAGGCAGGAAGTATTTTGAGATTACTTTTTAAAAATTTCTTAGTATTTCAGGATGCCATGAAATCTAAGACCACCACCCAAACAAATATAAGGGAGAAAATTCCTGATCAAGCAGTAGTACAAGGTAATGGGGGTGGAGGAAGGCTTATAATTCTCCCTAGGTCAGAAAGGACTTTCTGAATTTTAAAGCCACGGGTGAGGAGGAGAACTCTGGGGGATTCCTGAAGGGTTAAATGTCACAGACTTTCTTAATGCCATTTGGCTAAGAAGTTAACCAGTTTGCACTTACAAAAGAAAGAATCTGAGAAGACTCTTGCGTGCACTTACATGTCGTAAGCATCTGTTCCTTCAATATGAA